CCTTCCAAGCAACGGTTCTGCTCCCGGTATTCTGGGTGTTGTGCCTCGTATTCTCGCCTGTAACGCGCCAAGGCCGCCTCTCGTCTGCTCTTCATCTGAGACATGGCAGTTTGTTGGAACATTGACAGCTGAAGTGGAAGCGAAATGACGTATTGAGATGGCAGCCTTCGAATATTTTTACCACATGATTACTATCTAATGGCGGTGTGCGTTAAAATCACTTATGAGAAATCTACATGATTATGTACGTTGTATCATGCAAGAGGCATTTAGTACATATACTAAGATACTAGTATTAACCTGTCTCTTCAGCAGTTCAATCTCCTCCTCCAAGTCTCGTATTCGTGCTTGTGCCCGTTCTCTGTCTTTCCTCTCGGCCTCGAAGTCCTCTGTGCATATCTGGATCTGGGTGCGGAGGTGCCCCGCCGTGGTGGGGGAGCTGGGCGGGCTCTGGCGTTCCACCTGCGTCTCCAGTTCCTTAATATGGCGATCCTTAACGTCGCAGAGCTCCTTAAAGTGCATGAGCTCGTCTTTTAACTGGCAAAGATAAAGGGCAGTCATAACTTGAAATTTCCCAAACCAATGAGGTATATTCTCTGACTGTACTATTTTATATTCTGTTTGATTTTACAATGCGAACCGTGAATTTTGGGTACCGTATTTCACTTGGTAGTGCCCGCGGCCTCTTATCACTGTTAAGGATTTTTGGGGAGATCTCTAAAGCAATTGCTTTATTTTTAAGAACATTTCAAAACATGCATAATAAACATACCAGTATAGGTAATTACTGCATCGACGTTTACTTAGCAACGCGATTACAGAAAGGGACTTAAATCTAGGCATGAACTTCTATTTACGTTGAAAGGATGCGTGTGTGTGTGGAGGGGGGCGTCTACTTATGCAATGGCTTTCTTTTCTTTTAAAATTCGGCAAAATGCAGTGTTAAATAAACAATTACAGGTTTGACATTTCGTAATAAAAACTACATTAAATTTTAAAACCCTGATATCGCTTTATCAAACGCTGAAAGATGGAATGCCGAGTTAACCAACGATGGTCGAAAACTGAGTGAGAAAGTGTGTTTATGTGTGTGTGTGTGTGTGTGCGTGTGCATATGCGCGCGCATGCTGTATAGCGTACCACTTCCTTTTCTCGATGAATCTCGTCAATTTTCGCCTTAACACTGGCAATCGTCCTCTCGGCGTCCTCTCGCATTTCCTCGTCGCAAGTTCCCGCGTGTTTCTCGTGGGACTCGGAGACCTCGAGCTTCAGGTGATCCAGCTGTTGCATGAGGGTGTTGACGTAGTGGTCCCTCTGAGTGTTGTACACCTGCCAGTGCATGTTACCGCCCATCACCTGGAGGGAAAATAAATAGGTAACTGACAGTGCACAGCTTGAAAAATAATCACAGTTATGAAAAAATGTTTGGAAGGACCTGTCACCTTCGCCATTGTTAACCGTGTGGGCCGTATGTGCTGTGCTGCCCGACCTCCACAGGCGACATCTTACGGAGCAAGCGTGCATAATCCGGAGTGCAACTTTAAATAGCCTTGTCATTATTATATACAACAATTTTGCAAATGCCGTACCCGAATGACCCATTACTTATACACGATAAAGAAAAAAATCAATATGAAAGAAATAACATATGCTGATTTACCGTGTGAAGTTTTTTGTTCAGAACTTGTATCTCTTCCTCAGTTTGTTTCTTTTCCTGTCGATAAGAAAAATAGTGCCATGAACATGCAAACATATTGAAATAATAATGTTACAGCATCAGTATTCGCACCGTGCTTACAGAAAATTCAAGGTTTCATTTTCAAAATAATAATAATAAATAGAAAAAGACCTTTTCAACAGCACTTGTGGTAGTCTTTTGCTTCAGTTTTTCCAGTTTTTCAAGTTTCTGAGCCATGTCTTTTGCAATCTGAGATGTTTTCAGCAGCTGCTCCTTTAGCGTTTTTCCTTCGATGAGCGTTGATTCTTTTTCTTTTACAGAATCATACATCAACGACTTCATGGATTTCAATTCCTCCCTCAACCTGAGGATTTCTTTTAATTTCTCATCATTCGACAAGTGAATAATCTCGTTTAGTTTGTCGATCTCCTCAACGCACTGCTGGTGTTTATGCTGCAAAAGAAATGTCCATTTATTATCAAGAAATATCTTTTCGATCATTGAAGGATCACTCCAAAGGAAAAAAAAACAAACTAAAAGCTTTTTTTCAATACCGCTAATTCCACATCAAATATTGATCCTGTAAAAAACCTTCGACAATAGATTTCAAAATTAATTCGTTGGTTCTTGAGTTATAATCTAAACTAGGTGTTAAGTTCGTGCTTGTGTTAGCCACAGCTAGTACGCACACTATATTACTGTGATTGTTGGCCAAAAACCTTTAATTAAAGAGGCATTAGGAATCAAAATTTTGCCACAAAACCCGATCAAATACTATCATACAGTTTCAACTAACATAACTGGAAAAATAAAAATCAAATGGTATATCGTTTCACATTTCCCGAAAAAGTGTATATTTTGCTTTCTTTCTGTGTATTATATAACCCTCGGTCATATTCGGCAACTAATTTGAATGTCTGTGCTATATTGTGCGCGCAGCAATGCGCTATAGGGGACATTACGTTTGACGGACTCTGACGAAAAGGAAGGACGGATAAATAAGGCAAATCACGACTAAGAATTTGGAGAAGGTGCAGCTTTTAAGCTTTTTATGGTTGATTTAGTGATTTATTCGATTTATCCCTTGGCAAGTCGACTTCATTTGAGTCGTGTAAGAAACTAGTTAGTGGTTTACATGCAATGCAATATAGGGAATCCGCCCTCGCTTCATATGTAAATTTAAAGACAGTTAAAAGGTTCATCTCCGTTTCCTGCTTCAGTTGTGATCTCCTTAAAAGAGCTATCCCCAAAATCTCACCAGCATTTCAGACAATTTTAGTCCTCTGCAACTCTCAGAATGGCAGTACGCTGGATGACCGGTAGACGTCGCTGCACTCGCGCCTCTGTCATCGGCAGTCTCACGCTTGGCTACCTTAGGTTCACGTGGTTGGGTCATAGATGGCGCCACAGCACGCTTTTTATCCATAGTGAGGGGGCGTGGAATATGGACGAGATTCTCTGGTGTGCTGTCTTGGTTGTTAGCTCTCTTGGAAAGTTCCTATATACCTGAAAAGATTATATTGCGAACACGTCAGACCAAACAACTGAACGAATAAAAATGAATAACAAAATTTAAAAAAAAAATCTGTTACGAGTTTATAATATAAGGCTAGCTGTTGTATGAAGCAAATGTGAGATAATACACTGTCACCCGAGCGATATATGCCATAACACCTCGAGCGTCAGCGAGAGGTGTTCATGGCATATATCGCGAGAGGGTGACAGTGTATTATTTGACACACATACCGAGAAAAAAATACAGTCATTTTATCCTAAAGCACATCTAAAACCGAATAAAGTGACCCTATATCACGCTCTAGAGATGTTATACGGAATAAACTCGTCCACGTGCGCTGGTCACCTCCCGCCAAATTCTTACGTAATGTCTGACCAATTTGGTCAATTTTTGCTAAATACTTGTTTTGGAAGTTCAACTGGCTTGAACCAAGGAGTTATATAACACCTTGCTTGAACAGTATTTGATCAACCGTCCACAATGACCATGCGCGTCTCAGCTGAGCTCGAGCCTGCTGCGGAAAGAAGTTCCCAAAGCAAATCCTCTACTTTTTAGCTACATTTCTGATAAACAAGAACGAAAGAGAAAGAAATTTCATTTTTGGTGATGTTTCCGACAACGAGGCAGTTTCGGAATATAGTCAAAGTCAGACGGATGTTTATTACAAGTTCACAGGAGTAATAATTCTACGTTTTAGTGATATTTTTTTTATTACGAGGCGCTTTCGGAATATACATGAGCATTATTTCATGTGCTACATGCAATTACAAGTTCAAAGGGGGATAGATTTGGTTTTTACCGATATTACTGATAAAGAGGAAGAATGAACAGCTTAAAAACAAAAGGTAAATAACACAATCCTCGTTAAAAAGTTATAGATTTACAAATAATTTGTATACACGTGTGGCTTAAATGTAAACTAATTCCCGTTTTCAAACCATACCCATATGATATGACTTAGTGTAATAAAATTATAAATTATAATTGTTGAACGTAAAAAGTTTATTTTAATTTTTAAGAGTGAGAGATTTTAAATTTTTCTAGTGGTAGGTATATAACGCAAGTAAAGTCACTATTCTCTTGATGCTAAGAAGGTCACATTATCACTCTCTTTCTTCGGCTTTCAGCATTTTAGAGACCTCGACTGATTTAACCAAAATGTAGTCTTGAGAATTCTAAACTGCATCGAGGTTAAATCCGAGTTTTCCGAGAGATGCTTCGCAGAAATGTCGAGTGAAGCGAGATATTTTATGGGCAGCGGCTCGAGATTGTCCTCGATCTTCACTGAAGTTTGGCTAAATGAACAGGATTCAGTGATCAGCATATCGCCACGTTTATGTAATAGATAGACCCCGAGTCAGCGAGCGTTATGTGGCATACACGAGTGCGTAGCACGAGTGGATGTCACATAACCCTCGCTGATGAGGGATCTATCTTATTTAGACCACGGTCCATTAGCGGGTTATAACGCATTCATGCTAGACGTGCGGTTACTAGTATGCGAGTTACACCACGTCTGAGTCTTTTGTTCTTCACTTCCACCGTGGTCTAATGAATAAAAACGCACAATAAATTGTTTCTATAATAGCCGACACGTACATTACATGAGTACGCCATATAGGGTATTCATGCAGGTATAGGGCCTACGTAAAAAAGAGGCTGTCGGTACTGCTTGACGTCAGATTTTTATTTAGGAGATCTGGGAGGGTATCTCAAAGTTAATGTATAAAACCCTCAAATATTGGTGAAATCAAGGCAACGATCACAGCGAAAATCAGGAAAAATCCCAGAAGAGGAATGTGTTCGTTACTTGCGCGACGTAGGCCTACACATGCAAGTGTGTCTCCATGCGCAACGCAGCGCGCGGAGGCGATTTGGAGCATATTTGTTAAAGAGCATAAATTTTAGGCGAATTAAGCTACCAAGATAACTGAAACTTTGGGGAATGGCCATGTTCTATACTTAAAATCTGTATACTATTTTAGGGGGGGGGGGCTGATATCAGAGAGCACAACATGCATGTACATGTACACCCACATATATGTGGGTGTATATGTGGGTGTACATGTACACCCACATATACTTTGTCTAAAAAAGTAGCACAGGCTGTGCACAGATTAGGCCTACATGTAGACCTATTAAATATGCTGAATAAGCCCTAAAGTTTACGGGAGGTAAGCAAGCGTTGTACATGCAGTTGTTTACAGTCCTTAACAGCCGTTGGCGACAGGAAGAAGGAATTCCCTTTATCCCCACCCACCGCTTTACCCGAATGACTTAATTGTAGTTGAAGAACATGGGGAGTTAGCCCCCCACCCCCACCCCAACCCGCCAGTGCCCACGCCCATATAGGCCTATGGTCTTACCCACAGCCCCAGCCCTATAGGCCTATTCTGGTATATACGCACGACATGCTTCTGTCAGAGAGTTAGGATATGAAGGGATCAAATAATGTTGCTGTGACGGTGGACCTCGTTGTTTACAAAGGAGGAAATGTGAAAGCTTTAATAGGGCGGATAGATACGTACGTAGGCCTACGGCTCGATGACACCCCCCACCCCCACCCACCCACCCACCCACCCACCCCAGCACCCCCACTACCCCAACCAGCCCCACCAACAACCCCCGTTCTATACGCTGTACCCAAAAGTGAATAACATCACCAATTTTCAGTTAATGTACCTAAAGAATACTGTACCTGGTTGGAGCTTCGCTTACTATGACCCTGACCCCGTCACCTTGACCGTAGAAAAGTACGTCGCATTAATTGGGGAATCCCCTTTTCCGCACAACAAATATTTGACTTGAATACAGAAGCATGTGCTTGGTAGCCGAAGAATGCCGTATCGGGTCTTTCCATCGACAGCATGCTGTGTGAAATGTATGCCTGTTGGTAGTGATGTCAACCTATGCCATTTTAATTGAAACTTAGATCATTATTAGTACCGCGCATCTTGAAATGTCGTACGTATGTGCCTGAGACAAACTTTTCTGTTGTTATGGAAAGGTAGCTATAGGTTTTCTGTGTTATCTTCATGTGACTTTTTTGGACTTTGTTATTGTAATCTTCTTATTATTACAATACACACCTGTTAACACAGGGACCAACCCGTAACCCTAACGTACTAGCAGGATCGATCTATCTCCGAGGGGTTTCCCGCTAAATTGCTATCAGTTTAAACGTGCACGAAAATGAACACCTCCCCCCCCCCCTCCCCCAGCAGCTCCAGTGGGCGTGACAGACATTTTAGCCGCTTAAACTAAATACAATTTAGGAGTTAGATCGATCGTGTTAGTGCGGAACCCAGTCATAGACTATATACTGTTAGAACAGGAGATTCCCTCGCACGCCCTACGGCCCACACCCTGGCACACACACACACACACACGCGCGCGCTCGCGCTCGCGCGCGCGCGAAGAGGGGGTCAGGACACCCCCTGACACCCCCTAAATCTGCCACTCCACATACACACACAAAATTACTCTACCCCAAAAATTACTGACTGAATTTTCAGAATATATATAATCCAATACTCAAGTAACTCTACCTATACCAAAAAAGGTATTGCTTAGTTGGCCTTACGAGCCTGTCTTCAATCATTTATCTGTTTTTATTGCAAAATAAAATTTATTTTTACATAAGAAGGTACTCACAAGGCAAACCTATTTGGGAGGTTTGATATCCTCCATTAGATGTTTGGTAAATACATAATTATATCATATAATTAGTCACTCTGTCAGTACACTTCAAATATAATTTTTAATGAAGCAAGCTATGCTCACGGCTACGGCGCTGGCTACGGATACGGTAAATATTAAGGTATTCAAGTAAAGTAAGCAGCGATAATAGTTCTTTTTCTGATTTTTTTGTCGCCCGGCCCGCTTTTATTAAATGTAATTAGCGATTTAAAGTTTGCAGTAAATATTAAGAATTTGCATGGTTAAACGCTTTGAATCTCACCAGTAGATCTTGAATTTTATCAGCACAGCAAGTTACTGTAGGTTTTCCAGTTAAGCGAAAGACAGCTCAATATTAATCTTGAAAGAGCGGCAAATAACAAGCTCTATTATAACAGTGCAAATGTAACATCTTTATACCGCAGTTTTGGATGAGAAAACGAACTGGTACTGGATAAAACAGTAAATACACTTATCCCACATTGCAGGGTATCCCAATGTTTTGGGCACAAGGCCGTACAAGATGATTTACATCGTTTTTGCCCAGTTTATTGGAAGTATATGTAACAAAACGTCGAACCAGCAGCTTGAAAAAAGATGAATAATTCATTTATGAAATACGTCTACTTGCTTTTAAATCCATTTATTAGCATGCATGTTTTCACTTAAATTCGTCTCACCATCTTACTGTATGGGAATCCTTTTTTATTGTGCCAATAAAAGTGTATAACATTTTATAAACTGTTTGGTGGTTTGATGGCGTTGATGCTTTCATTTAAGACCCCATTTCCAGAGATTAGATCGATCTACTTTAGATCGACCTAACTCCCTGGGGGTTCACGCTAAATAGCTGTCAGCCGGGCGGACACGAAAGTTAATTACCCCCTTACAGCTTGTAGTAGGCGGGACGGACATTTAAGCCGGATTATCTGACAGTAATCTAGTGAGACTCCCCGCGGGGATAGATCGATCTCTGGGAATACAGCCTAAGTCACTTTGTCATGGTGTTCACAGCTACTAGCACAACAGCCAAAACCTTTATCATCTCTGGAGTTCCTAAGACTCCGTTTTTGCCATTAATTACTTCTCTTTATCTATTAACAACTAAGTATAAGTTGCTTAAATATTAATGTGGTCTGTTTGGGTCATAATTCAGTTATCGAGACCAGTTTTCCGATGTCTCTGTGGGAAATCTCAGCACAAGGAATGTAAACACAGTATGTATCACCTGGTCGTCGTAACTGTGGTAGGCCTATGGTGACTGCGGCACACTAGTCGATGCAGCATGGACATGAACAAACACCATGTCAAATATTATTATCTATTACGTTCCTGCCTGCTGAAACGATTTCTCTTCATAAAGTTCCATTTGGTTAGGAATACATCTTCAGATACATGGTGAAGCAGATCGCGGTGAACATGAGAACGGCCAGCAGTGTCGCAGGTTGGGGGTGGGTGGCCGCGTTACATAGGTCGGAGTTACATATACACGCTGCCTTCTCCCCGCCGGCAGTGTTGACCTTTGCGCATATCGGTTTCTCATTGTGAGAGCAACCTCTGGTCACGCCGTCTGGAATGAATTAACAATGATGAGTTTTGCCTGTAGCCACGTGGAGTCTAACCCTCTCCGGTAATGTGCCAGAGTTTGGCTCGACCCTCACCTCTCTATTGTGTTAGCGGAGTCTCTCGTACACAATATGTGCCAGAGCAGTGCACGATGTTCATTTCTCTATTGTGTTAACGGAGTCTCCCTGTACACAATTTTGCCAGTGTAGTGCACGATGTTAATTTCTCAATTTCCTGTACATTTCCTGTACAGAGTCATCATTCAATAGATTTGCTAACTTTGAACTTGTTAGTCCGATGTTGTGAATTAGGCCTAACAGATCCGCGGATCAAATATGGCCGACCCACTTGAATGCTTGTTGTCTGTCCTCCACGGCGAATCTATTCAGTACGTACCCGCTGATTTGTTAGAGCGTGTTCTGAACAGTGGACTAACAGATCCGCAGAGCAAACATGGCGACCCACTAAAAAGCTTGCTGCTTAATATTCAGGCTTAGACACTGAATAGATTTCATGCGAGGATTGCGCAACAAGCATTCAAGTGGATGGGTCATTCTGGATCCGCGGATCTGTTAGTCCCCTGTCCTGAACAAGCTTTTAGTCCGCTGTTCTGAATAAGCTCAGAGAGAAAGAGAGAGAGAGAGAGAGAGAGAGAGAGAGAGAGGGAGAGGTGGGAATCACCTGCAGAGACGAGCTTGGCACAGCCATATTCGCAGAGGAGGGTTTCGTCGCCGGTGTCAATTAAGTTTGGGTAGTAGGGGTCTTTACAGAATGAGTTGGTGGGGGAGCACTTGTAACATTTGACCGCAGCCGCTGTAAAGACAGTTCAAGTTAGAAACCGTTCTACGCCAGCACGGTGTCGGTTGCATGAATACGAATATAAAAATGTAGTATATACATGTATATTGTAAGCTTAAGGCGTCTGTAACGTTTAAAGGGATAATAACTCTTCATTTTGGCCCAAAAATGAATTTTCCCACCCTGAGCTTCAGAGCTAACTTGACACTAACCTCTTCACTGTAGCCTATCTTCATCGTGTCAAGTAACCTCTGACCAGATTCGATTGCCTCCGCCGCCCGCCAATCAAATTTAAAAGCCCGCACTCAATGACTCATTAAACGATCTAGCCAATGAACGCGAACGAGTCAAAGCGCGCTTTGTTCAAATCCGGACCAATCAAAGTTAAGGCTGAATATCAGGGACTTGCCGTAACCTGTGGGCAGCACGCAAATTACATCGTCTCTCAGTAGATAATGATGCAGGGCCTCAAACTGCTAGACCCTATGGTTTCAATTCCGATTTACTCATATTTTGCAAAGAATCAAGAGATAACTTAACACATTCTTTTTCGTAGTCACTCGCCTTGCTTTCTTTGTGTACGGTAATACACTCGGAACTACTCGGATGTCTCCGCACTCGACAATAACTTTGTTGTTAGTATGGAGCTTGCGGAATCAGCCGAGGATTGCCGATTGACGGTCAACCAATCAGCGTTTTCACCAAACTTTGGTGAAAAATTTTGAAACATGGATTTGATTGGCTTATATAAACTAGGTCAAACTATTTTCGTCAGAGGTTACTTGACACGATGAAGATAGGCTACAGTGAAGAGGTTAGTGTCAAGTTAGCTCTGAAGCTCAGGGTGGAATTTTCCTGGAGTAAACAACAATTTTCCCATACTTGCCAATGGTAAATGAATCCATTTTTACATTCAAAGTTAGTCCCTGTTTTTTTTTTTTTTTTTTACCTAAAAAATTTTTTTTTTTTTTCTTTTTTTTTTTTTTTTTTTTTTTGTTATAATCTCTTAACAGAGTAACAGAGTATAGCCATCAGTGGAGGTCACGTGGTCTAAAGATAAGCTCTGATATTAGAATAATAGCAATAACTACCGTTTTTGTGGTACAACAGAATATATTATATTTCTATGAGTTGTTCACAATGTTTTTATTGTGAAATATAGTTCTCATACGAAGAGTTATTATCCCTTTAAGCCACAGCTGTGAAACTTTAGATTTACTCTTCCTTTGAACAGCGAGATTCAGATCAAAAGAATACCAACGCAAGTGCCCAACCATAATTAGAAGTAACAGACGCAAGAGGAACTCTCGCCTCAGCATTACAGCCTACCTGTATGGACGTATAAGACCATAAAAACTAAGGAAATCATCCACGTCTTCATTTTGTATGTTCCCATGGTCTGGCCAACACTATCCTAGCTGAGTGTCAGTGCACAGTAAAAGCTAGCTTGTTAAATATTAAAATATACCTTGTGATGGGGTCGCTTTTACTTCGTATTGCTGATATGGGTTATATATGAAATCAAGATCGAGCTGGCAGGTAGCCAACACTGTCACAGGGTGGGATTCCAGGCGTATAACGTCACCCAGATAATAAACGGTATTTCCTGCATTCTATAAAGATGGAGACTGTAGATATTTCGAATCACTAATATTTTGAGGTATTCAATACTGCATACTAATATTAATAAAAGACGGTTGACAGATAATTTCTTCTTTTTATCAATATTTGTTTTGAATAATATTTCATAGAGATTCATTTTATTCATTTTACGGTAACTAAGGTAAACTTATCAAATGATATTGCAAATAAAATGTGACTTCTTGTAGGGAGGTCAGGTCACACCGCTCACGCGGTCGAAAACGGGACAAAATCTAACCTCGCTGTTTGTTTTCCATCATAACTTCCAAGATTTTGGTCCTATGATAAATATGAAAATATATTTTAAAAGTGCATTGAATGGGCTTTCTTACAATATGTGTAACAATGCATTATTTCTCTGTTGTAAGACCCTAGCCACGAAAATGCTGTGAGAAATCGCTGGTGATTTCACTTCCTCGTTTGGTTCCCACTATTTACGAATTTTGCTCAACATGCGCGTTTCGCGCCATTTTTCTAAAAGCTCCGTACGGCGTCCCGGATGTTTTTTCCTCGTATTTGGACACATATTCATGAGGAGAATGAAACAAGCGTTCGAGTGAGGGGTTACAGAAGTTTACTCAACCGAAAACAGCAACCAAAACTAGCTTGTAAAGTTTTTAATCGTGTTTTAGAGTTAGAATAACGAATTTCTGAAAGTTCTGTAACCCCTACCTAAATTTTTTAACTAATTCTCGGTTCAAATCAGTTTTTTATTTATCATTTTTTGGTAAGATAGAGCCGTAACAGCCGTTTGAAAATCAGTGACTTTGATCTTACCGCAAACAAAATGGCGAACGCACCAAGCTGCTCTGCTTATAAAACAGCAACTACACTTTCAGTACCGAAAGAAGATCAAGATATTAGAATATCTAATAAGAAAATCTTTGAATTGTTCACGAAACCCAAGGATATTGATAAAACGTGTGCAATTCAAGAATATACAGTTTATTTTATTTTTCAAACAAATTACGATGTTCAGGCCCGTAGCCAGGGGGGATTCGAAAGAACTGCCCTTTTTGCTGGGAAAAGGTCCACTCTGGGTACAATTTGATCTATGTACTTGATGATTTTATGGTAAAAGGTCCACTTTTTCAGAAAACGAACCCCCCTCTTAAATTGCTGGCTACAGGCCTGATGTTGATGGGCCTAATGATTGAACCTTCGGACTATTGCTACGGCCCCATTTCACCTTTGAACTCGTTAGTGATTATAAAAAGGGGAATCTTAATTAAAATCATGGAGATATGAAAAACTCTAGAATGGTAAATGACAGTCAAACAAAGTGAACAAAAGTAGTACCTATTTATTTTTGCTTAGCAAAAATAAAAAAGGAAAATTCCTAAAACTGCCATTACGTTATGGCAGTCTGTCAAAATAATCTCGCTGGTTTTTGTATTACCTAGCTGCTATGATGTCCAATATCAATTAAATTTTTTGGGCAAAATGATAACTTTCCAAAATCGGATATTACTTATTTTCGTCGTGCATTCTGGCAATTTTCACTAGTTAAACCTTAAAATTGTATATGCAGTTGTCTTTGTAATATTGGTTGCCATGGCAACAGTGACATGGTATTTGTTTACTATTTAACTTAAATTCATAAATTGAGTACAAATAGTGTTTCCCACTTCATAATCAGTTAAAAATTTGATTATAATGTTTAAAAGATAATTCAAACTGTTACCATAGCAACAGCTATCATAATGACTATTTTCATAGCAACAGATACATTACAAGCCATTGTTTTTGTTTTTAGTGATGGCACATTTTTTTAAATCATTTTCATCCAAAAGTAACCTTTGGGCAGTGATGCTGAAGCTTTAAGGTTGAAAAATAAAAAATAGTATTGATCGATATTGATATTTAGCAACGGTTGCCATGGAAATAATGAATAAATTACAGAAAATGATATCTTGTCAGATTCTTCTTGGCATAGTGTAACTTTCCAGAAAATTTCAAATGGATATTTTACTCCATTCAAAAGTTATGCCAATTTTGTTTAATTGATTAGGCAATTAGGTGACACTTTTGGCTTCTACTGTTACATATGCTTGCATATAAGACTTTTTCAAAATTCTGTGGCCGACTAGCATTCTTGAAAATGTAATAACTTTTGATTGGCTTGCTTGATTTTCAAAAATTAAAATGTTTTGGAAAGCTCATGAATTTCTCTATGAAATAAGATCACTTTGGCTGATATTTATGTTACTATCAAAGTTGACCTGACCTCCCTACTTCTTGCACACCCGGCACTTTCTTATGTAGTGACTGCGGTTACAGCCTATTTATGTGGAGCTCTGGGCTGAAGATAATTCTAGTTATATTCTCATTCGTTTCACTTAATCGTATATAAATCATTTATTGTCAAATAACTCGCAACGAAAACACCCAAACACGGCATCAAATTCAAATCATTTTATTTCGTTAACCCTTGCTATGAGCTGCTGCATGCCTGTCTGCGTCGCAGTATGCGTACATACCACGCATTAACTGTCCTTCACCCACTCTCAAACTATAACCCTCTACCAACTTCTCATACCCTTTAATAGCTTACTGTCAGTTCAAACATTTAAAAACGAAAAGTATCTGGATGTTCACGATGCTGAAAAAAGAAAAAGAGCCTAAGTCGTTTACTGCTGTAAAGACAAAATTGAATATGAAAGACACTTCCTCACAACGTGCCTCCTATACAACGAACCATATTAACGTACCAAGTATTGACAAAACATTACACAAACTTTGGCCTCAGATGAAAAGTTAACTATCATTATGATATCCCAATATGAAGAGACCCTCATTGCATTAGCTCAGTTTCTTTCCTTTGCTTTGCTACAGCTGTGTGTGTGTGTGTGTGTGTCTGTGTGTCTGTGTGTGTGTGTGTGTGTGTGTGTATGAAGGCAACTGTATCATATATTGTGACATTTTTTCTTCAGTGTCAAAGCATGCCTCATCACACAATGATTATCACATCAACTTCTGTAAAATCTGCCCCTATCTAGACTGCACTGCCATATTGTACTGTTTGATATCCCATCGGGTCATGTTTTTCTCTGTGGTTTTCTCAAGTTCATCAACAAGCCAGGCGGGGTGATGAAGGTCATGACATTTTACCAGCAGTACACACATACTGTTATATTTTAATTTGCAAGGATTATAACTGGTGTATCTCATGTTTATATAAATTTAAGTTTATCTTGAAGTTAGCTTTTTCTTTCATTCTTCATTTTAAATGCTTTAAATCATTTTCTCTTATCTCGATATTTTTTTTCTTATCAAGGGGTATTAATAAGTAATGTCATTTTATTTGTTTCTTAGATAAGTAGCTGAAGTTTCTGAAAGTTTCTCTTATGTTTACAGTATAAGGTTAATAAAGAACTGCATGTAATCTCTGTATCGAGTCACAATAAATCAAGTTGTAAAAGGACTTCAAAGCTATCCACAGAAGGTGTATTGTGATAAGGAAAGTTTATATTCGGATAATAGCTTTTACTCATGAAAGTGAACAGCAGCAGGTAAAGAGAAGTGTCCTAAAATATTTTTTTTTCTTTTTAATGAGGTAATGACTGCTGAATACTGAAGTACCTGAGAACTTTTAACAATAAATCTGGCCCATTTTTGCAGTGTCTTACTTTCAGTGGAATGTGGCTCAACATTTCATTGAATTTGGACTTTAACGCTGACTTACTGGATAAATTTTGAGTAGAATTTTGATTTAAAATTTAGACTTAAGGTAAAAGTTACATATTAAATTCAAATTAGTGCAACTGGACTCTGCTGACCCTTATGTCATATCTGAAGTGTTTTCAACATCTTAGTTTACTTTAGTTAATGTTCTTGTATGTTTGTTGACCCAAACACATACATTTAAGATTAAATCCACAACCTTTTCACTGTATCTGATAATTTCCTGATAAGGCTTAACTTTGGTAAACAAAACCGTGTTATGTCCTCACTTAAACTGGCCAGCTCTTAATTGCACTGTCAACTGTTATTCAAAATAATTTAATAATTTTTTTAAATGAACATTTAACAAGTTTACTCTTGAAAAGCAGTTATCAAAATGGAAATTATCTAATATGGTTAAAATGTCTAGAGTTAGGAGTCATATTGCTCTAAACTTGTGGTGTGCAAATCCTAGATCTGATGTTTTTTAAGGACACCCACCCACGCACGTGCGTGCACACACACACACACACACACACACACACACACACANTATAAAACAATTCTTCAATATAAAGGGGTTTGAATGATTTGCATTGTGATAACAGAAACTTTGAACATGACCTGTGCGCTCTATTCATTCAATGAAAAGGTAACTCCATGTATTGAAAAATCTATATGCGGTAGTGATTAAGCAAAATTTCCAAAGTGCCATGTATTTTATTTTGAAGAGCTCAAGGGGCACTTAAATTATGACTTGCATTTTCGGGGGGAAAAAATGAAGAAAAATCCCGTTGATTAAGCATGCCAAGTTCAAATGTACAAAATGAACAATAAATAATAGTATTTGAAGAACACATCAATGTCATTGTATGTGGGCCCATGAAGTTTAATAATTAAATGAAGCGCTATGATGGTACTTTAAGTTTGTTTATCAGTATTCATACAGTGTGTGATCCAGTCTAAACTAGTTCAATTATGACAACTGAGGTAAAAACATGGGACTGTTTTCAGGCCAAATATAGTCAGGTTGTTATTGTTTTGAATTGAAATCTATTCCAGTCCCACGACTTTGATGTTAAGGAGTGGGCACGACCAAGATAAGATTGCTTTAACAATTTCTTTTCCTCTCCTTCCCATTTTTTTTTTATTTATAAATCCTCTTAAGATTAAGGCCCGTGCATATTAGAGAGTAGGATTTAATATCATATAATTATATAGTGCTGTTCTCTCTTTTTTAGCCCATGAGCAAGACACAGTTTTAGAAGGCTGTCGTGAACAAACATATTTGGACA